AAAAACGTGGGGAAAAGATTTGACGAAATGCTAACAAGAATGGACAACATAGAGAGGAATATAAGTGAATTGATGGACTGAAAAACACAACAGGAGAGCTTCACAAAGCATGCACAAGTTTCAAAAGTTGAATTGACCAAGCAGAAGAAAGGATATCAGAGGTCAAAGATCGACTCAATGAAATAAAACAAGAAGGCAAGAACAGAGAAAAAAGGGTAAAAAGGAATGAACAAAGTTGCCAAGAAATGTGGGACTATGTGAAAAGACCTAATCTACATTTGATACGTATACCTGAATGTGATGAAGAGAATGAATCCAAGCTGGAAAATACTCTTCAGGATATTATCTAGGAAAACTTTCCCAACCTAGCAAGGCAGGCCAATATTCAAGTCCAGGAAATACAGAGATCACCACAAAGATACTCCTCAAGAAGAGGAACCCCAAGGCACATAAATCGTCAGATTCACCAGGGTTGAAATGAAGGAGAAAATGTTAAGGCCAGCCAGAGAGAAAGGTCGGGTTACCCACAAAGCCCATCAGACTCACAGCAGATCTCTCAGCAGAAACCCTACAAGCCAGAAGAGAGTGGGGGCCAATAGTCAACATCCTTAAAGAAAAGAAATTTCAACCCAGAATCACATATCCAGCCAAACTAAGCTTCATAAGTGAAGGAAAAATAAAATCCTTTGTGAACAAGCAAATACTCAGAGATTTCATCACCACCAGACCTGCTCTACAAGAACTCCTGAAAGAGGCTCTACACATATAAAGGAATAACCAGTACCAGCCACTCCAAAAACACCAAATGGTAAAGAGCATCAACACAATCAAGAATCGGCATCAACTAACAAACAAAACAGCCAGCTAGCATCAAAATGGTAGTATCAAATTCACACATAACAATATTATCCCAATCAAAAGACACAGACTGGCAAATTGGATAAAAAGCCAAAACCCATCTGTGTGCTGTATCTAGGAAACCCATGTCACATGCAAGGATACACAAAGGCTCAAAATAAAGGGATGGAGAAAGATTTAACAAGCAAATGGAGAGGAAAAAAAAAAAAGCAGGAGTTGCAATTCTCATCTCTGATAAAATAGACTTCAAAGCAACAAAGATCAAGAGACAAAGAAAGACATAGAGAGACTACATAATGGTCAAAGGATCAATGCAACAAGAAGAGCTAACAATCCTAAATATATACGCACCCAACACAGGAGCACCGAGATACATAAGGCAAGTTCTTAATTACTTACAAAGAGACTTAGACTCCCACACAATAATAGTGGGAGACTTTAACACCCCATTGTCAATTGATCAACCAGACAGAAAATTAACAAGAATATCCAGGACCTGAACTCAGACCTGGAACAAGCAAACCTAATAGACATTTATAGAACTCTCCACCCCAAATCCACAGAATATACATTCTTCTCAGCACCACATCACACCTACTCTAAAATTGACCACATAATTGGAAATAAATCACTCCTCAGCAAATGCAAAAGAACAGAAATCAGAACAAACAGTCTCTCAGACCACAGTGCAATTGAGTTAGAACTCAGAATGCAGAAACTAACTCAGAACTGCACAGCTTCATGGAAACTGAACAACTGGCTCTTGAATGTTGACTGGATAAACAATGAAATGAAGGCAGAAATAAAGATGTTCTTCAAAACCAACGAGAACGAAGACACAACATACCAGAATCTCTGGGACACATTTAAAGCAGTCTCTAGAGGAAAATATATAGCAGTAAGTGCCCACATGAGAAGCAAGGAGAGATCTAAAATTGACACCCTATCATCAAAATTGAAAGAGCTAGAGGAGCAAGATCAAAAAAACTCAAAACCTAGCAGAAGACAAGAAATAACTAAGATCAGAGCAGAACTGAAGGAGAGAGAGACACAAAAAAACCCTTCAAAAAATCAATAAATCCAGGAGATGGTTTTTCAAAAACATCAACAAAATAGACAGACCACTAGCCAGATTAATAAAAAAGAAAAGAGAGTATAACCAAATTGATGCAATAAAAAATGATGAAGGGGATATTGCCACAGATTCCACAAAAATTCAAACTATCATCAGAGATTATTACAAACAATTCTATGCACATAAACTAGTAAACGTGAAAGAAATGGATAAATTCCTGGACACTTGCCTCCTCCCAAGCCTAAACCAGGAAGAAATCGAAACCTTGAATAGACCAATAACAAGGTCCGGAGTTGAGGCAGCAATTAAGAGCCTACTACCCAAAAGAAACCCAGGTCCAGATGGGTTCATAGCCGAATTCTACCAGACATACAAAGAGGAGCTGGTACCATTCCTTCCGAAACCATTCCAAATAATTCCAAAAGAGGGAATTCTTCCCAAATCATTTTATGAGACCAACATCATCCTGATACCAAAACCCGGCAGAGACTCAACAAGAAAAGAAAACTCCAGGCCAATATCCGTGATGAACAGAGATGCAAAAATCTTCAACAAAATACTGGCAAGCCGATTGCAACAGCACATCAAAAAGCTCATCCACCATGATCAAGTAGGATTCATCCCGGGGATACAAGGCTGGTTCAACATACACAAGTCTATAAATGTAATTCACCACATAAACAGAACCAAAGACAAAAACCACATGATTATCTCAATTGATGCAGAAGAGGCCTTTGCCAAAATTCAACAGCCCTTTATGCTAAAAACCCTCAATAAATTAGGTGTTGACGGAATGTATCTCAAAGTAATAAAAGCTATTTATGACAAACCAACAGCCAATATCATACTGAATGGGCAAAAACTGGAAGCATTCCCTTTGAAATCCGGCACTAGACAAGGATGCCCTCTCTCACCACCCTTATTCAATATAGTATTGGAATTTCTAGCCAGAGCAATCAGGCAAGAAAAAGAAATAAAGGGTATTCAAATAGGAAGGAGGAAGTCAAATTGTCTTTATTTGCAGACGACATGATTGTATATCTAGAAGACCCCATCGTCTCAGCCCAAAATTTTCTGAAACTGATAAGCAACTTCAGCAAAATCTCAGGATACAAAATTAATGTGCAAAAATCACAAGCATTCCTATACACCAGTAACAGACTTAAAGAGAGCCAAATCGAGAACAAACTGCCATTCGCAATTGCTACAAAGAGAATAAAATACCTAGGAATACAACTAACAAGGAACATAAAGGACCTCTTCAAGGAGAACTACAAGCCACTGCTCAATGATATAAGAGAGGACACAAACAGATGGAGAAACATTCTATGTTCATGGTTAGGAAGAATCAACATCGTGAAAGTGGCCATACTGCCCAAAGTAATTTACAGATTCAATGCTATCCCCATCAAGCTACCAATGACCTTCTTCACAGAACTGGAAAAAAGCACCTTAAACTTCATATGGAACCAAAAGAGAGACCGTATAGCCAAGTCAATTCTAAGCAAAAAGAACAAAGCAGAAGGCATCACACTACCGGAATTCAAACTATACTACAAGGCTACAGTAATCAAAACAGCATGGTACTGGTACCAAAACAGAGATATAGACCAATGGAACACAACAGAGGCCTCAGAGGCAACACAACATATCTACAACCATCTGATCTTTGACAAATCTGACAAAAACAAGCAATGGGGAAAGGATTCCCTGTTTAATACATGGTGTTGGGAAAACTGGCTAGCCATGTGCAGAAAGCAGAAACTGGACCCCTTCGTGACACCTTACACTAAAATTAACTCCAGATGGATTAAAGTTGTAAACATAAGACCTAATACCATAAAAACCCTAGAAGAAAATCTAGGCAAAACCATTCAGGACATAGGCGTAGGCAAGGACTTCATCACCAAAATGCCAAAAGCAATGGCAACAGAAGCCAAAATAGACAAATGGGACCTAATCAAACTCCACAGCTTCTGCACGGCAAAAGAAACAATCATTAGAGTGAATCGGCAACCAATAGAATGGGAAAAAATTTTCGCAGTCTACCCATCTGACAAAAGGCTGATATCCAGAATTTACAAAGAACTAAAACAGATCTAAAAGAAAAAAATAAACAAGCCCATTCAAAAGTGGGCAAAGGATACGAACAGACACCTTACAAAAGAAGACATACATGAGGCCAACAAACATATGATAAAATGCTCATCATCACTGGTCATTAGAGAAATGCAAATCAAAACTACATTGAGACACCATCTCACGCCAGTTAGAATGGGGATCATTAAAAAATCTGGAGACAACAGATGCTGGAGAGGATGTGGAGAAATAGGAACACTTTGACACTGTTGGTGGGAGTGTAAATTACTTCAACCATTGTGGAAGACAGTGTGGCGATTCCTTAAGGACTTAGAAATAGAAATTCCATTTGATCCAGCAATCCCATTACTAGGTATATATCCAAAGGATTATAAATCATTCTACTATAAGGACACATGTACATGAATGTTCATTGTAGCACAGTTTACAATAGCAAAGACCTGAAACCAACCCAAATGCTCATCGATGATAGACTGGACACAGAAAATGTGGTACATATACACTATGGAATATTATACATCCATCAAAAATGATGAATTCGTGTCCTTTGTAGGGACATGGATGAACCTGGAAACCATCATTCTCAGCAAACTGACACAAGAGCATAAAATGAAACAACTCATGTTCTCACTCATAGGTGGGTATTGAACAATGAGAACACATGAACACAGGGAGGGGAGCACTACACACTGGGGTCTGTTGGGAGGAAATGGGGGAGGGACGGGAGGGTGGGGAGTTGGGGAGAGATAGCATGGGGAGAAATTCCAGATATAGATGAAGGGCGGAAGGCAGCAAATCATGCTGCCATGTGTGTACCTATGCAACAATCTTGTATGTTCTTCACATGTACCCCCAAACCTAAAATGTAATAAAAAATACTCCCTCCTCTTTATCCTTTGAGCCTCACATAGCAGGTGTTCAATAACTATTCCATAGGAGATTTGGTATAGAGAAAAGTAAATTAATATGGAATAAGCAAATAGAGTTTGTGATGGGAAAATGTATAATATACTAAAAAATCATTAGTAAACACTGTGCCATCAAACCTGCAAACATGATTCACTTTTATTATCTCTTTAATCTTTACCTGTGAGATGGGAATCACTATACCTGACTAACAAGTGAGGAGCCTGAGAGGTTGTGACTTGTTCAATATCACTTAGTTGGATTGAGTTTTCACAAACTAAATCTAGTATGAGTCTATTCCATCCCCACTTCAGGGCAGCCATGACTTCTGGCTCCCAAAGGGCCTGGCCAGTTTCCCCTCATCTGGAAGCTGTCCCTGATGCTGCCAGAAGGCTCAGGACAGAGGAACCTCAGCTCCCTGAAGGAGAGTCGGAAGCGTGACTCCCTGTGTGCATGCTCCGGAGAGGAAGCTGGGGACGCCTGCCAGGAGTACTCTCCTTTGGCTGTGTATGGATGTGCGGTGTGGAGCCCTTTAGGCAGAGTCTTCTCTCTCTGATCCCCAGGACACTGGACACAGGAATATGGGAGTCCCATTTTCCTCTACATAGATCTCATGCTGGATATAGGGTTTCAACAAGCCTTCAAACTGACATGTCAATCGACAAATGAGAGACTGGTCATTTATATTGAAGAAGGAGATGGTCCCACCCTCACAGTCCAGGAAGACCCCTACTCGTGTAGGAGGGGTCTTGGGGACGAGGGTGATAACATGAGGATCGAATGTGGAATACCAATCTTCTCTCATCAGTCTGAAGACCCAGTACCCATTATTGGGAGACAAAGTGGCACGCGTCTCCTTCCTGTCCACATCATCCCTGCACACTCCCACGTACCACCATTTATTGTATCCCACGTCCACCTCCCAGTAATGTTTCCCTGCCTGGAAACCCTGAGAAGCCACCACACTCTTCCTTGTAAATCTCTTCTTAGAGTAAGGAACCTCCTGGGGAGTTCTTGTACGGGTTACAGTTTTCAGATCAGAAACGCAGAGCTGTGGGTGTGCCGTCTCTGGGTCCAGAGTCACCTCCACTAGGATGCGGTGGGGGAGAGAGGAAGCATGAGTTACTGAAGAAGAAATCTCAGCTGGAACAAGAGGTCAACCCTCCCACTGCAGACTGGCTCCGGGTAGGGTCTGGCCAGACCCACCATCCCACCAGCCATGTCTCTTCTCCAGGGCAGCCCCTGTGCTTCACTGATGCTTGGAGATGCTCAACCATGAGATGTTCAACTCCTCTGTATCACTGAGCCCTCCCATGTAAGCCCACTGTTTGACTTTGTGAGACCTTGAGTGACTCCAGGATTCAGCTTGCTTCCACCCATCAGTTCCTGCTGACTTCACTTGCTTTCCCTTAGCACAGACCCCTAGTGGCCAGCCACCTGTGCCCTCAAATCCCTGGAGTCTTGCCTGTGACCCCACTGGCTGACCCACGCCCTAAGCTTTTCCCTCCAAGTCCTGGGCCGAGAAGTGTATCTAGAGGGAGCTGCACCCTGGGGTGGATTGGGGCATCACAGATTTGCTGTCTGCAGGCTGGGTGGGCTCCATATCTGTCACTGGTGATCTTCATACTTCATGCCCACTGTCACCCAGCTCAGGCATTGGTACCTGCATGTTTCCGGGCCTCTCTCAATTCTGAAAACAAGCAGACAGAGCAGGCAGTTCAGTGCTCCCGTGGGGAACAGGATGCAGGGAGAGGGGAGAGGCCAAGGATTAGGACCCTTTTTGAGTGTCATGGGCCCTCCAGAGATCTGAAGAAGGCTATGGGGCCCCTATGCAAAATACACCTCCCCTAGAATCTAGACAATTTCATGGTCCCCATCTTGGTTCTACAGGGACCCATGGGCCTCCGGGTATAAAAATTCATAGAGGGACTTGGATGAGAGAGATCAATTGAGGGAGGAGAGTCTCTCACCTGCTTGTTTGTGTATCTTTCTCCAGTCTGAAACAAAAAAAAAAAGAAAAGAAAAACACAGAAGAGGCTGAAATCACAGAGCAGGGGCCCAGAGAGGGTGTGGGAGGAAAATCCTGCATGTGACAATACTCTCACTCAGTTTATCCTGGAGTTTCCACAAAATAAAAAGCAGATTCTTTAATGGTTGCTACAGGACTGGATAAAGTTTCAAAGCATCAGTCCAGGGGAGGTTGAGGATCACCCACAGATTTTTCTCAGGTTCCTCACTGTGGTCCACACACCCTCAGAGCTCATGATCAACACCTCCCTTCAACCCCCTACCCCACCCCCACCACACACAGACTGAACAAATGGACAACAGGCACAGACAATCTGTGGGGATGTCCAGGTCTTGAGGTTTATTCTAAGTCCTCCAGACATCAGAAGGGCAACTCATTAGCAGGTGGATGGAGAGAGTGAGGCAGCTGCTCTCCTCCACCTGCCAGTGCTTCCTGTCCAGCTTGGAACCAGGGTCAAACTGTGGGTCAAGGAGGGACCCAGGAGAACCATGTGTGGGAGGCTCAGGACGTGACACACACTTACCCAGTTCTGTCTGGATTTTCCCTGAAACAGAAACAGTATGTTCAGTGGTGGGCATAGGAGTGTGCAAGGTACAAACACTACCCTGGCTCCTTGCACAGGTGGGATGAGCTGCAGATGTGAAGGGCAGGGCCTCTCCTAGATCACTTATATGTGTTCATCTCCCCAGCTCCTGCATGGAGTGTAGCTGTCTGGGGTGGAGCAAGAGATCAGGAAGGTTCAGCATCCCAGCTGTGGAGGTGAGCATGGAGATGGGAGGAGGTGGCTGGGTAGGGAGGCCAGGGTGGTGTCATCCTCAAGGGGAGTGGTCACTCCCCAGAAGAAAATTTGTTCTGGGGTGAAGACTTTTATTGAGATTAACATTTTATCTGAGTCAGTCAGTTTTATTTCCTCTTTTATGAAGTTTTTGCAACTACCCTGAAATTTTCTTATATGACTCTTGTCATTAGTAGAAATTTACCTATTTATTTTTTGAGACAAGGTCTCACTCTGTTGCCCAGGCTGGAGTGCGGTGGTGAGAATATGGCTCACTAAAGCCTTGACCTCCTGTGCTCAAGCCATCCTCCCATCTCAACCTCCTGAGTGGCCAGTACCACAGTCAAGCACCACCACACTCGGCTAATTATTTTATTTTATTAAAAAATTTTTTTTCGTAGTGAGGAATTCTTGCCATGTTGCCCAGGATGGTCTTAAACTCCCGGGGTCAAGCAATCCTCCCCCCTCGGCCTTCCGAAGTGCTGGGATTACAGACACAAGCCACCCCACTCAGCCTGTTTGTGGAAATTTGTATGAATTCTTTAAGTACTGAAAATCAATTACCTGCTTATTCTGCGCTCCATGTAGGGTAGAAAGGGACTGGCAGAGGCTGGCATTTTCTGAAGCCGCCATTTCGGGTCAGCACAGAGGATGCTGAAGACTGGGTTCCCTGTGCCTCAGGTGGTGAGCCCAGGAGCCTAGGGCTGGAAGAACAGCACCCGGAGGTGTGTGAGGGCAGCCTGATGTCAGCGCTACTGGAACCATGAAGAACCATGCTTCTCTCTCTCACTTACCTTTGGATCTGAAGAAAACAATCGCCATCCCCGTGATAACAACACATAGGCCACCACAGACTAATACAAGTAAAATACAAGCCAGGCGCCAAGGTGAGGGCTGGAAAAAAGTCTCTGAAAAACAGTCCCACAGACCCCTTAGTGAGGGCTAAGCAGGTAAGGCAACTTTATGCTCACTTAAGGAATCCCCCTCATACCCCAAGATGAAAACATTTTTCTCTAATTCCTTCTACAGATTTAAAGATTTGCATTTCTGTGTAAGTCTCGATCTATCTTGATTTCATATATATATTTGTGTGTGTGTGTGTGTGTGTGTGTGTGTGTGAGTGAGTGTGATGAGGCAGAAGTTCAATGTCAGTCTTCTAAGCAAGTAACGACTGTGCTGGCAACGTTTACTGAGTGGACATTGGTTTACACACTGCCACACATGCAATGTCACCTTTACCTCATGTTTCTGTTCAAGCTTGGATTTGTTTCTGGGCTCTTTATTTTATTCTATTGATCCATAGGGTTATCTCTGTGTCAATAATTTTAATTGGCTTAATCTTCAAAGCTTTGGGATATGTCTCTGGGATAAGACTAAGCTTCTTAGCTTGCTTTTATTCCACTGTGTCTTAGCAATTGTTGGCTGTTCGTTTTGCCACATAAATTTTGGAATTGTTATTAGGCTTTAAGAAAACTCTGGGCCGAGTGCAGTGTCTCATGCCTGTCATCCCAGCAGTTTGGGAGGCTGATGTGGTAGGATTTTTTGAGGACAGGAATTCAAGACCAGTCTGGGCAACAAAGTGAGACTCCATCTCTAAAAATTTAAAATTAAAAAAATCAGTCAGGCATGGTGGCGCCTACCTTGTGCTCCCAGCTACTTCAGTTGAGTGGGAGGATTGCTTAAGCATGGAAAGTTGGGGTTGAAGTGAGTCATAATTGCAACACTACTACAGCATGGGGCGACAGACTGATGGCTCACCTCAAAAAACAACAAAAAGATGTGCTGCGATTTTCTATGGAATTGTATTGAATCTGCACAGCTATTCTAGGAGAACTGATACCTTTAAATATATGCATCTTCTTATCTGAAAGGTGTTATATTTGTTTTCTTATTTTACTTGTCTTTAGTGTCTTTTAACACAGTTTTTAAAATATTCTTCAATAAGATTTTCTAAACATTTCCTTAGACTCATTTCGAGTTAACATTTTTTATTGTTATTGTACATTGCATGTCTTTTTCTTCCTTTGCTAGTGTTTACTAATACAATTTATTTTGTTTATTAGTCTCATTTTTCATGAACCCCATGGGTTCTTTTATGAGTTGAAAGAATTTGTCTATATATTTTTCTAAAGTTTCCATTTATATCAGCATATAAACTGTGAACAATGGCCACTTAATTTTTTTCTTTCTGAAAGTTAGAACTTTTACGTTTTCTTCCCTTATTGAAATGGCTGCTAATAGTAACCATACTGTAATATAACGTGGAACAGAAGTGTTTAATGCAATCTCCTTATGTTATAATTTTAAACGATACATTATGTTTGATGTTTTCTGTAGGTATTTAAAAAATTAAGTGGTGTATTATTTTGTATGATGTTTGTTGCAAGTATCTTTAGATACCTTTTCATCAGATAAAGCAGAGTCTCTCCTATTTTTGGATTGATAAAAAGTTTTCTCCTATTTCTAGATTTGCAAGTGTTGAAGTCATGAATAGGTGTTGAAAGTTATCTGTTTTATTTACATCTACTAAGAAAATTATAGTTTATGTCCTTTAACTAATTATTGTAAAAATTACATTAATATATATTCCCATGTTGACCTAACATTTTTTTCCAGGATAAATTTGGTCATGATGTATGCTTTTGTACACGTTTCTACTTGCAAAATTTTTTATAAGATTTTTACATTTTCAATTATGAGTAACGTTGGTAAAATTTTTTCCTTTTTAAAATTGCTCAATCTGTTATGGTACTGAAATTGTGTTGACCCAATAAAATGAGTTTAATATTTCCTATTTTTCTGCTCTCTGGATGACTTTCTGAATGGTATATTTTCTCTTTTCTTGAATATTTGGTAGACTTTGTATATAAAACAATTTTGGTTTTGTGTCTTCCTTGTGAGAAGACTTTTATTTTTATTTATTTATTTATTTATTTATTTTAATTTTATTTTTTTGAGACGGAGTTTCGCTCTTGTTACCCAGGGCTGGAGTGCAATGGCACGATCTCGGCTCACTGCAACCTCCGCCTCCTGGGTTCAGGTAATTCTCCTGCCTCAGCCTCCTGAGTAGCTGGGATTACAGGCACGTGCCACCATGCCCAGCTAATTTTTTTTTTTGTATTTTTAGTAGAGACGGGGTTTCACCATGTTGACCAGCATGGTCTCGATCTCTTGACCTCGTGATCCATCCACCTCGGCCTCCCAAAGTGCTGGGATTACTGGCTTGAGCCACCGTGCCCAGTGCGAGAAGACTTTTAAATGCTGATTCCTATCAGCATTTTAAATGCGATTCTCTCATGGTTAAAAATTAGTCAGATAGTCTATCTTTCCTTAGAATTTTGTATTTTACATTTTTCTTCTGTTTTAAAATTTTTTGAGGCAGAATCTCACTCTCCTCCAGATTGGAGTGCAATGGGGCACTCAGCTCACTGCAATCTCTACCTCCCAGATTCAAGTAATTCTCATGCCTTAGCCTCCCAAGTGCTAGGATTACAGACACGGACCACCACGCCCAGCTAATTGTTGTATTTTTAGTAGAGATCAGGTTTTACCATGTTGGCCTGGCTGGTCTCGAACTCTGGACCTCAAATGAAGTCAGGAGTTTAGTTTATCTTTTAAATCGCTACAAATCTTTAGTTGTGCCTTCTTGTTATTTCCTGCATTGTTTAATTTTGCTGTTTCTCTTTTATTCTTAACTGCCGGTTTATCTATTTTAGTAACACTTCGAACCATCTAACTTTGGATGTATTAATCTGCACTATTTGTCTTTATATTTCTGTATCTTTAAGATTCCTTCTATTTTCTTTTGCTGTATTCTGAAATATATATTGATGCCTAATATAAATATTCAGCTATTTCATGCTAATAAGAACATTTAAGGATTTCAGATGAAGTCTTGCTCTGTCACCCAGGCTGGAGTGCAGTGGAATAATCTCGGCTCACTAAGGCGCCCACCACCACACTCAGCTAATTTTTGTATTTTTAGGAGAGATGGGGTTTCACCATTTTGGCCAGGCTGGTCTTGAACTCCTGATGTCATGATCCACCCACCCCAGCCTCCCAAAGTGTGGGATTACAGGTGTGAGCCACCATACCTGGCTGGATATAATTTTGACTTACAAAACTATATTCATTCCATTTTACACATAGATCATAATTTTATTATCATTCAGTTCTAAGAATTTTCTACCTATTACTATGCTTTCTTCAATTTCTCAGTTATTTTAATATTTAAAAAGTTTTCAAAAACATAAGAATTTAAACTATTTTTTGCTATGGTAATTTAACTTTATTAAATTGTGATTAGAGAATATGTGTATGATATCAATGTTTAAAAATTTTCTGAAAATCATTTTCTGTGTTTATATCTGCTAAAATTTTATAAAAGTTCCAAGTGTGTTAAAAATTAATGTGTATTCTACAGTTCTGGAATGCCATTTCCAGAAATATGTTATTTCAGCTTATCAATTTTTAGTTCAAATATTATATATTCTTACTCGTTTTGCCTACTTATTTAATCAATTTTAGAATTCAAAGTATGAACTTTCTTCCTTATATTTCCATTTATATTTTCTTTTTATGTTTTACATGTGTAAGGTACATACATATTTTAAATTGTCATATTCTTATATTGAGTGAACTTAAGTTTTTGAAATAACTCTATCTCTAATGCCCTTTTTCTGAAAACATTGTCTTTTCTTGACACTAATATATCTGTTACAATTCCCCTTGATTAATGTTTCTCTAATATTTTTTATTTTCAATGAATAGCTCATATGTGCTACATTTTTCCTCTTATGAATTGCAACAATTGAGATTTTTATTATTTATTTATTTATGTTTATGTTTATGTTTTTGAGACGGTCACCCAGGCTCTGTCATGGAGCATGGTGGCACGATCTTGGTTCACTGCAACCTCTGCCTCCTGGGTTCAAGCAATGAGATTTTAAAATCCAGTCTGAGATTCTTTGTCTCTTAACTGGCAGATTGAATCCTTTACATTGAGTGTGATTCTGGACACAGTTTATGTAAATTTTTCTACTATTTGTAAACCCTTTCTGATATTTTCTACATTTTTATTGTATTCTGCTCCATAAAGGAGCAACGACATTTTCTAAAAATGAATAAACAATTATTTTCTTAGTCCTAGAGTTAGTTTCCTTAAGTTGTGTATGTGTTGAGTTGTGAGTGTTGCACCATTGGTGTATTGTATGGTGAAGGAGAGAATTCTACTGCCTTGAAATTATAAACAATTCTACTTCTGCCTTATCAAATGTTTGGTTTTGTTTTTTATACCTCATCAGTCTTTGACTCTCAAAACAAAACTAAAGCTGGGTGGTACTACACAACAATCCCAGACACAGGCTTATGCTCTCCCTGGGTTACTTAGGCACACACCCATCCTTTGCTCCTTCTTCTCACTCACCTTCTATCAACACCCTGGATTCCACCTCATGACTCTGCTCAGCAAGGTGGATGGAACATGATATGCTCCCAGTGCTTTCCTGGATTGTAAGAGAGGTCTCCACATCAAACAGGCTGTGCTCATCTGCATTTGCCCTGGAGTCTGAGGATAAATGCTCTCCTTGTGGACCTTTCCACTGCACTATGGGCTGGGGAAACCAGCCTGAGGACAGGCAGAGTAGCTGGATTCCTCCATCAACATATCCCACCATGGAAATGAGAGGAAGTGAGCCCCATCCTGGGAAGAAAACAGGGAAACATCAAAGCAAAGACCAAGTTTCAAGCTTACAGCTAATTTGAGTCTGGTTCATCAAACCTGTGCCCATAACAACACACATACATTCATTTTTTTTTCTCTCTCTCTCTCTCTTACACACACATCCACTGATAATACTACTGCAAGCCTTTCCATGGTCTATGTTCATTCAATATTTATTTAGTAATCACTATATATGCCTGGATATTCCTAAGTATGAAATAGAAAGAAGTGAATAAGACAGAGCCCCTTCTAATGAGAAACTCATTTACCAGATAGATAGACAACTGTATAAAATACATTTTGCAGTGAAATGGCAACTATGAAAGCATGGTCAAGTTAGCACAGAGAAGAATGCTTAACTTTCAGGGAAAATCGCACCTTCCTGGAGATGACATTTGCACCCGTCTGTGTCAGAAAATAGGAGAGATTTGTTGTGGTCAAGTTGAAGAGAGGGGAAGCATTTTAGACAAAAACAGGCAAGTATAAACCACAATGTGGAAAGTTAACATGACACAGTGATTTCAAGTGCTAGTGAGTATTTGTCTTCCAGATGATGATGCATAAGAGAGTAGGAGCGTGAGACAAGATCTGAAAAAGGCACAAGGCAAGCCATGGAGGTCATACATTCAGTGACCTGAGCAATGTGGACTTGCCCCACAGCCACTTCAAGAACTATAGAGCAGTAGGGCTCTTACCAGCTTCCAGCAGGTGGAAGTTATGACAAGGCCTGTATCTTAGAGAGGTTCCCAGGCAGCGGCATGGAGGAGGAACCATAGAGAACACTCAAGAGGAGAGTGATCCACCATGCAACCACTGAAGTGACCCCAATGAGAGAAAAAAAGGGCTGGGGAGGAGGAGGGCTCTGAAAAGGGTAAAGGCAGATGCAGAATCTATTTGAAAGGTGATTTAATAGAACTGAACATCAAGGAAGGGTTTATTGTGACATCCAGGTTTGAGACGTGGGAAATGTGAAAGAGTACCCCTTATGTGGTTTCCTTCAATTTGATGATTTAATATTGCCTTTTAACCACTCCACACAGAGCTTTACTTTTATTTTTATTTTGGCAGTCATCTTTGACTACAAACAGAACTTTCTCTCTGAGTGCTGTTCCCTGCCATTCCCCAAGGTCTATATCAGTGCATGGAGCCTAATAAATGTTTGTTGAGTCAATAAATTAATGAAAGAATGATGGTGGTGTAAGCACCGAGGACGAGGGCTCAAATAAGATGACATAGACTTCTCTTCCTTGCTCCTTCCTCTAAGTAAAATTATAAACCCTAGAAATGAGGCAAGCATAGATGCATTTTGAAAAGTGGAAAGACTAAGGAGGATTGCCTAGGGACCCCAAGACTAGAGAAAAAATACAGCAGCTGAGCATCCTATGACCACTGCCCCCCTCCAACACCTCCAGCAGAAGTAGGTGTCCCAGGGGGCTCTTTCCACCCCTAAATGGCTGAAAATACATAATATGCGAAGTGGTGCTGGCAAAAGAATTGACCCCACTGACCGGAGGCCAGGGGAAGAGTTCTTTGTCCCAGTGTGCCAGATGATCACCTTTCTCACAAGAAACACTGGGGAGGAACATGGAGAAACACTGTCTAACTGCCACAGTCAGCACTAGAAAGGATAAACAAAATCCCCAGTGACATCAGTTAAGCAAAGTAACCCAGTAAAGCCTCTGAAAATTAAATTGTATTTGGAGCCACAACCAGCAAAACTAAACTAGGACCTGAGTGATAAATCTAAACATGGTGACTGCCTGCAAAGCAGAAGCTTTACATAGGGTCTAGAGTATCTGATAATAGCCAAACCATTTAGATTTCACTAAAAATCACCCATCATACCAAGAACCAATTAAATATCAACTCTAATGAAAATAGGCGATCCAATGATTGCCAAGACCAACATGAATAGCTATTATTAAAATGTTTCAAAAAGCGATTATGAACTCTCTTAAAAAATAAAAAATAAAATCTCACGAAAAACATAGAAATTATAAAAAAACAAATCTGAAGTAATGTAACAGAAAAACGCAATCACAAAAACAAAAACCAACTGGGTAGCTTCAATACTAGGGAGGAGATGACAGATAATGGAATTATTGAACTCCAGAATACAATAATAAAACCAGTGTGAAGAGAGAGGAAAAGCTTTTTTAAAGAAGAAAAACAGATCCTCAAGGACCTATGAGACAATAACAAAACATCAACATTTATATCATGAGTCCCAGAAGGAGAGGAGAAAGAGAGGGAGCTGAAAGAGTATTTAAAGAATTGATTGCTGATTTCTCAAATGAGGTGGAAGTCATGAAACTACAAATTCAAGAAGCTGAGAGCAAACCAAATAGGAGAAATGCAAAGAAACTCATGCCTTGATAGATCGTAATTAAATTTGTGAAAATAAAGAAAAATATCTTGAAAGCAAGCAGAGATAAATGACACATTACATATAAACAAATGTCAGCAGAGTTTTCATGAGAAATCTTCAAGACCAGAAAAAAGTATCACAACATTTTTCAACTGCTAAAAGAAAATAACTGTCAAGAAACTTCACAAATTCTGTATCTGGCAAAACCATTATTCACAATAAAGGTGAAATCATTTGCATATTTATTCTCAGATAAATGAAAACTAAGAGCATTTGTCACTAGCAGACCTATCCTAAAAGGATGGCTGAAGGAAATTCTTCAAACAGAAAGAAAATGATGAAAGAAAGAATCTTGGAATATTAGGAAAGAAGAAAAGTAATAGAAAAAGAAGAATAAGAAAAATTACCATAGACTTTCTGTTTTATTAGTGTTTAACAATCACATATGTGGTGGCTTATGCCTATAATCCCAGCACTTTGAGAGGCCAAAGCAGGGGGACCATTTGAAGCCAGGAGTTCGAGACCAGCCTGGTCAACATGGCAAAACTCCATCTCTACTAAAAATACAAAAAAAAAAAAAAAAAAAAAAAAAATTAGCTGGACATAGTGGCTCATGCCTGTAATCCCAGCTATTTAGAAGGCTGAGGCACAAGAACCACATGAACCTGAGAGGTGGAGGTTACAGTGAGCTGAGATCACATCACTGTACTCCAGCCTGGGTGACAGATCAATACTGTGTCTCAAAGAAAAATAAAAAATGAAAATAAAATTACATATGATGGTTTAAACAGGAATTAAGTCACCATCTGATGTAGTGCTTATGTATACAGAAGAAATACTCAAGGCAATGTTATTTGTAAATTATGGAGATGTAAAAGATCTAAATGAAAATGAAGTTTCCACACTTCAAAGTAGTAAATAGTAGATTGTGATAAATTATATATGAATATCATAACACCTAGAGCAGCACCTAAAAAAACACTGTAAAATGTTATACTAAAAAAACACTAACAATACATTGTAATGGAATCCTTTAAAAAGTTTAGTAACACGTAAGATAAGAAAAATAGTAGAAGGAGAAACAGAGAAAACAATTAAAAAATGATAAAATGGTAGATTTGGTCCTATTATATTGATAATTACCTTAAATGTAAATAATCCAACTAAGCTAATTAAGACAGAGATTGGGAGGGTAGATTTAAAAGTTTGACCCAACCATGTACTAACTATAAGAAATGTCCATCAAATATAATGCCACTAGATTTGTTGAAAGTAAAAGGATGGAAAAATATATACTTTTCTACCATTGATGGAAGGTTGTGGTCACCATCCAGAGGCAGAATGGACAACTCCTGATACCTCATCCAAATTTTGGTTCAGATGTTGAAACTGATGATGTCATACATAAACCAATACGGTGTGATACAGTTTACTAGTCACATCATAAGGATTTCTGGGAAGAGCAGAGCAGACTCCAAACCAGATCTACAAATGACATTGGAGAGCAAGGAAAAGAGAATGGCTTGGATTTTATTGTGGTTGGGAGTGTAGCTGGCATCAGGATTTCTCCAAAAAGTAAAATGGGATTTTATGCTTTGAACTTCTTACTCACACCGAAGGAATGTCCATTCTTGTTTATGGTAAGGGAGAGTGGTCTGGATTTAAAGATATCAGTAGTCTAACTTCAAGAATTTGAGTCAGATGATTATACATATCATGCAAACATTAATGTTAAAAAAAACAGGTAACTACATTAATATCATATAAAATAGACTTCAGGACAAAATAATAGGAGAGCTGAAGGCACATTACATAATGATAAGAGCATCCATCCACCAAAAAGATATAAATATCTTAAAGGTATATATGCTAGACAGCATCAGAATTCATGAAGATAACCCCATAATCGTAGACAACTTCAAAATTCCAGTCTCAGCATCTGATGGAACTCACAATTAGCAAGAATACAGGGGATCTGAGTAACACAGTAAACCAAAGGACCTAACAGATATTTATAGAAGGCTTTTCTCCAAAACACCAGAATACACATTATTTTTAAACTCCCATGGAATAGTCAGCAAGGTAGACAATATCTTAGGCTCTAAATAAAATGAAGCAAAACCAGAAATCAATAGTGAAAGGACAAGAGCAAAATCCCCAAGCACTTGGAAATTAAACAACACATTTATCAATAATCCATGGGTAAAGTGATGTCAGCAGGATGACAAGGTAGGAGATCCAGCTTTCCTCTCGCCCAAACAAAAATAACTCTGAAAGTGCACAAGCCACTTAAGAAACCACAGCAAAGAAGAAGCCCGAAAAGAACTGTGTGAAAAAAGAACAGTTTTATTTTACCTGTATCACCTCAGCCTCTGAGCCAGCATTACTCAGCGTGGAGAGGGAATTCCTTAGCTTGAATGTCCCTCTTGGAAGGAAAAGTGAGATGTACAACCAGTTTCCCATGCATTTTGAAATATTGTCCAAATGGCCAGCTTCAGTTTCACCCCAACCAGCTATGCTGTGGGGATCAGCATAGCTGTGATGTCTGGGAACACTGTGAAATAAAACTGTAAATAAGACCTCAATGTCTCCAGATTCCCCGTGGCTAATA